CGTGATTTTTAACCCACCGGGTCCGGGACGCGAACTGTGGTCGACTACGTGGGAGTCCAGCGACATAGCCATTACGCTAACTGCTGGTTCCCCTTAATGTCTTTCCTCAGACTCTCTTCCTTCTCCCACCCTCTTCCCACAATATATCTGGTATCTATAACCATTTTCTATATATATATTTTTTTTATCCTCTAGTCATTCAGTTTCGGCCATAGAGTGTGGACAATCCGTATATATTAAGTGGAGACATACAATACCTCTACTTCATAGCCTGGCTTGCTTCACTCAGCAATAAATCTTCCATATTCATCTACATTCTGTAAAAAGCCAGGGTCTTGTTGTTTTTATATGGCTGAGTAGTATTCCATAGAGTATGTGCCACACTTTTTCAATCCATTACTCTGTTTATGGACATTTGGGTTGGCTCCATATCTTAGCAATTGTGAATAATGCCACAATAAATATAGATGTGCAAGCACTTTTCCCACTAAGTATTCTTCTGTTCTTTGGGTAGATACAAAGGAGTTGAATTGCTGGATCATATGGTAGTTCTATTTGTAGATCTTTGAGGAATCTCCATATTGTTCTCCACAGTGGTTGTACCAATTTACATTCCCAACAGCAGTGTAGGAGAGTTCCCCTTTCACCACATCCCCACCAGCACTTGTCTTTTTTTTTTTTTTTTTTAATCTTATTCATTCTGACTGGGCTTAGGTGGTATCTCATTGTGGTTTTGATCTGCACTTCCCTTATGATGAGGGATGTTGAGCACTTTTTCATATGCATTTTGGCTGTTCATATGTCTTCCTTAGAGAGTTGGGTTTTTTTTCAGCTCATTCTCCCATCTTTTCATATGCTTTTCAGTCAATTGTATGTCTTCTTTGAGAGCTGTCTATTCAGATCAGTTGCCCATTTATTAATTAGATTATTTGTTTTTCTGCAGGTTAGCTGCTTGAGTTCCCTAAATATTCTGCTATTAATCCCTTATTAGAAGAATAATTTGGAAATATTTTCTCCCATTTCTTGGGCTGTCTATATATTTATTGTTTGTTTTGATGTTCAGAAGCTTTCTAGTTTGAAATAATCCCAGTTGTCTATTTTTGGAGTTGTTGCCTGTGCTTTAGGAGTCTTCTTAAAGAAGTC